GGGGTTCCAATCCCGATTTTTGGGGTTCCAATCCCGATTTTTGGGGGGTTCCAATCCCGATTTTTTTGGGTTCTAATCCCAATTTTTTTGGGATTTCAATCCTGATTTTTGGGGGGTTCCAATCCCGATTTTTGGGGTTCCAATCCCGATCCCAATCAGGATTAGAATCCCAAAAATCAGAATTGGGATCTCCCCCCCACAAAGAAAGCCCAGAACTCAGTTTTATATTCCAGAAAAAATCGGGATTGGAACCCAAGGAATCTGGATTCGGATCCCACCTCACAAAATCAGGATTGGAATCCTTAAAAATAATTTGGATTGGAATTCCCCTCAAAAATGGGGATTGGACCCCTCAAATCGGGGTTATAATCTCAAAACACCCCCAAAAAAGCCCAAAACTGCCTCAAAATGCCCAAAATTGTCCCAAAACCCCTCCCCAAAAAGGCCCAAAAGAGGCAGAAAATACCCTAAAAAAGGGCCCAAAAAAGACTCAAAATGCCCCCCCTAAAAATGTCCCCAAAAAGGGTCCAAAATGCCCTAAAAAAGCCAACAAATAAACCCCAAAATTCTCCAAAAAGAGCCCCAAAAATGCCCCAAAAAGAGCCCAAAGATGCCCCAAAAAAGGCTCAGATAGAATCTGAAAAAGGCCCAAAAATGCCCCCCAAAATGCCCCAAATTGTCCTAAAAAATGCTCCAAAAAAGTTCACAAAAAAGCCAAAAATGCCCCAAAAATTCCTTCCAAAAGGCCCCAAATTCTGTAAAAAAATGCCCTAAAACCCCCCAGCAAAAACCCCAAAAAATTGCTGCAAAAATGCCCCCAAAATTGCTGCAAAAAATTCCCAAAAATGCACCCCCCGCAAAAAAAAAAAGGAACCCCAGAAAGGCCCAAAAATCCCAATTTTTGAGGGGGGGAATCCCCATCCAAAATTTTTTAGGCTTAAAATTCCAATTTTAGGAGCTTCCCATCCCCATTTTTAGGGACTTCCACCCCAAATTTTAGGATTCAATGGAAAAAAAAAATCAAATTTAAAAAAGCTGGAAAAGGGATAAAAAGCACTGTAATGAAAGGAATTCCAAAGGATTTCATGGAAAAATATAAAATCCAAAATCCATCCAAGGAATAATAATAAAAAAAGGGTGGAAAAAATTTTGGGAAATTTGATCCCGATTTTTGGTATCCCCATCCCCATTTTCCAATCCCATCCCATTTTTCCCATTTTTTCCCATTTCCCCCCATTTTTCACCCATTTATCCCAAATTTCCTCCCATTTTTCACCCATTTTTTCCCATCTTTCCCATTTTTTTCCCCAATTTTTCCCGGT